ACGTATAGGGGTATTTACGTATTTTTACATAATATTTTTCTAATATTCTTTAAAATTTAGGGCATTTATCAAAATCGCCCCTGTAAATTATTATCACAAAATCATTACTATTATAGGTTACGGAAAATATTAGTATTGATATTAATATAATTACCTATAATGTAACAAAAATATATAAGTGATTTTTTTCAGGTAAAAAGTCGATAAAACATAAGCGTATACTTGGAGGAATTGATGAGAAAACCACCTGGTTTTCTCATCCTTTTCGTTATTAGACCCTTCGTCTCAATAATTCAAAATCGGATCTATTAGCACGGACTGCACGAGTGTCATCCGTATGATGTATCTTTTGTAAACGTTGTTCTTTCGGTTTGAATATTTGAATCGGTTTATTGTCTATTGTAAGTTGTTGAAAAAAGAAAATCGCTAAAGTATACAAAGAGTGATAATTTGCAACTTCTGAACGCCCAACTCTATGGTTTATAAGTAAAACTTGATTGCATAACAAAAATTAACGTCAAATGCTTTGCCAAGATCTCAAACGAACTAAGCAGCGAACTAGAGACATCATATAGGTATAGTAATAAAGAATAAATCATTCAAGTAAAAGTTCATGACCGCAACATAGTTCCAAAATGGAATTGACTCAAAAAATGATCAAGTTCAAAAGTTAAATTTAATTCAAAAAAATGAATTAATATAAAGGTTTTAGTAGAACAATATGTTTCCGGGTTAATTGAGGTTTTCACATAACCACAGAACATTACAAAAGGTTACACAACACAAATCATTCATAAGCTGGGATAACATCAAACAGTTGTTCATCAATCGGAACATGTAACGTATGTTCCTAAGTATACCGAGAACCATAGGTTATACATATTATAAGCTTTTTTTTGATAATAAATATAATGAAATAAAGTTTTAAAGGATCGATCAAAGCATGCTGGAGGAGATGTGATCAATGGGGAAAGGATTGCCCAAGACATTGTCCATGAAGTAATGGTGAGGATGTGTTGCGTCCATTACCACAAACTGCATATCCTCTGATGGCTTCCAATGCCTTTTCCTCTGGTTTATGAACCAATTGTTTATCTGTTTCTGGTCCAGCCCGGTTGATTCCGCCAGCGCCAGCTTCTGTTGCTCCTGCAATTTCATATCCAATGACTTGAATTGGTCTTTAGCTTAAGAGCTTATGTACAGACACTATATATAGGGTCGTTATTCGTGTTCTCAAGTAGCCCATATGAACATGTATACCACACGAAGGTTATATATGGTTATTAAAGACATTCCAATGGGGCCATTGGGGAATTTCATGCACACTACTTTCCAGTATTATGACATGAATTATGTTCATCTAAAGTTATGGTATAGCCATAAGGTGAAATTTTTAGTTGTCTAAACAAGTTGACATGATGTGCATTATGGCAAAGAAAAGTTTGATTTATAGGTTGGACCCTAACAATAGCATGGAATCAAGGATAATATGCGCTAAAAGACCAAATACAACATACATATTGACCAATTAAGTTCAAATTATTCAACTTGCTTAGATTTCTAGTTATGCATATTGACCCTATGAGTTTAATAGATTCATCTTGACAGCCATGTATGAAACATTTTATGCAATGCATTCAAAAACCAAAAGCGGAGAGTATAAGAGAAGAAGTTACCGAAGGGTAAGGCCATTTGTAGTGTCGGCTCCACCAATCAAGCAGTTGTTGGCGAGCTTCTTTAGGGAGCTTTCCTTTCTTTCTCTTCTTCATAAACTCTTGCTTGAGGCTACCTAAGTAACCACTGTACTTGCGCAAGAGCTGTCCTTTAAGCTCCCTATCCTCAGCCTGCGGATCTATAAATTCGTTGTTCATATCGACTTCTTCCTCAGATGACCCATTGTTGTTCCTATCAATGGCCGTCTCTCCATAACCTACTTTGTTTAATCATATAAACAGAAGACAAGGTTGTCACACAATACAGCTGATCGGATTCCAAATGTTCAAGTATTTAGGTACACAACAATTTATGATACATTAGCTAGAGAAATGAAAATGAATAAGCTAGTGATCCAGATAATTTAAAGAAAAAAAGTTGAGTAAGTAGGTGTGTGTTTCTATACAAACTTAACTACGCTCGTGAAGTCAAGAGCCGAGTGATATGACATTGTGTAGATACATGTGTATGTAATTATACGTACACAAACATGTGTATGTCTAAATTGAGCAATAGATCAAAGGACGAACAGACTCTAGATCCAGATATTCTTTTTGATGCAATGAATTAAATAAGAACCAAAACAAACGGAGAAGAAAGAGACAAGAACAGTGACTGTTGTTGTACCAAGCTAAATAAAATTCAATTCAG